GGAACAGCTTGTTTACCCTGACAAAATGGTAATGTCCAGGGGAAAGACTGCCATCCTGGCAGCAGCACAAGGTGGGGCTGAAGGCCAATAAAACTGGGTGGAGATGAATGTCTCTTGTCCCTCCCCTGAGGCCCCTTGAGGTCTGTTGACAAAAGGACGGCTGCTGCAGTTTCTGAGGTTTAGCATTTAATCCTTGGAGAACACTGGTAGTTTACCACCACAAGGCTTCATTCATCATCTATCTGTATGCCTCTCTACATAGAATTAATTGCAAGAGCATTCTCTAGTCACTGCCCTCCAGCAGTTTGAAGGACATACTGACAGACTAGGTAAGACATGCAGAGAACTCGAGACATGACATATCCAGATAAACAGCATGCACCAGAGAGCATAATACGCACACTGCTTACAATAGTCTTTAGTTTACACCAAACTGGGGGCTGAGCATGTGCACATTGGATCCTATTTTTCTGTATGACTACACTTTTAAAATGAGGTATGTTGGCCCGGAGCAGTAGCTTACGCCTGTTATCCCAGCACTTTGGGAGGCTGAGATGGGTGGATCACTCGAGGTCAGGAGTTTGAGACCAGCCTGGCCAACATGGTGAAACCCTGTCTACTAAAAATACAAAAGTTAGCCAGGCATGGTGGTGCACACCTGTAATCCCAGCTACTTCAGAAGCTAAGGCATGAGAATCACTTAAACCCAGGAGGCAGAGGTTGCAGTGAGCTGAGATGGAGACACTGCACTCCAACCTGGACGACAGAGTGAGACTCCATCTCAAAAAATAAAATGAGGTATGTGACTAGCTTAAAAAAAAAATCACGTATCAGTCCAGGCGTGCTGGCTCATACCTGTAATCCGAGCGCTTTGGGAGGCCGAGGTGGGTGGATCGCCTGAGGTCAGGAGTTTGAGACCAGTCTGGCCAACATGGCGAAACTCTGTCTCTACTAAAAATACAAAAAGTTATCTGGGCCTGATGGCAGATGTCTGTAATCCCAGCTGCTTGGGAGGCTGAGGCAGAAGAATTGCTTGAACCCGGGAGGTGGAGGTTGCAGTGAGCCGAGATCACGCCATTGCACTCCAGCCTGGCTGATAGAGCAAGACTCTGTCTCAAAAAAAAAAAAAAAAAAAGGAAAAAAAAAAAAATTTAAAAAAAAATCAAGTATCGGCAAACCTTCTAAGGTTACATTTTATTTATTATTATTATTTATTTATTTTGAGACGGAGTCTCACTCTGTTGCCAGGCTGGAGTGCAGCGGTGTGATCTCTGCTCACTGAAACCTCCGCCTCCCAGGTTCAAGCAATTCTTCTGCCTCAGTCTCCTGAGTAGCTGGGATTACAGGCATGTGCCACCATGCCCGACTAATTTTTGTATGTTTATTAGAGACGGGGTTTCACCATGTTGGCCAGGATGGTCTCGATCACTTGACCTTGTGATCCGCCCGCCTCGGCCTCCCACAGTTCTGGGATTACAGGCGTGAGCCACTGAGCCTGGCCTATTTTTATTTTTTTAATGTTTAATTTGTGTGGGTTCATAGGATATATATATATATTTATGGGGTGCATGAGATTTTTTTTTTTTTGAGACGGCGTCTTACTCTGTCACCCAGACTGGAGTGCGATGGCGCTATCTCGGCTCACTGCAAGCTCCGCCTCCTGGGTTCACGCCATTCTCCTGCCTCAGTCTGCCAAGTAGCTGGGACTACAGGCGCCCGCCACCACGCCCGGCTAATTTTTTGTATTTTTAGTAGAGACGGGGTTTCACCGCGTTAGCCAGGATGGTCTTGATCTCCTGACCTCGTGATCCACCCACCTCAGCCTCCCAAAGTGCTGGGATTACAGGTGTGAGTCACCCCGCCTGGCCTCATGATATGTTTTGATACAAGCATGCAAATGCATAATAAAATCATATCATGGAGAATGCAGTATACATCCCCTTAAGCATTTGTGTTAAAAACAATCCAATTATACTATTTTAGTTATTTTTAAATGTACAATTAAGTTATTATTTATAGTCACCCTGTTGTGCTACCAAATAGTAGGTCTTAAGGTCTTATTCATTCTTTCTATTTTTTTTTTTTTTTTGTACCCATTAATCATCCCCACCTCCCTCCCTAAGGTTACTTTTTTTTGGTTGGGGGGAAAGGGTCTTGCTGTATCTCCCAGGCTGGAGTGCAGCCTTTACCCCCCGGGCTCAAGTGATCCTCTCACCTTAGCCTCCCGACTAGCTGGGACCGCAGGCGCATGCCACAACTCCTAGTTTTTTGTATTTGTAGAGACAGGGTTTCAACATGTTGCCCAGGCTGGTCTCAAACTCCTAGGCTCAAGTGATCTGCCCACCTTGGCCTCCCAAAGTGCTGGGATTATAGGTGTAAGGTTACTTTTTTTTTTTTTTTTGAGTCACAGTCTCACTCTGTTGCCAAGGCTGGAGTGGGTTGGTGTGATCTTGGCTCCCTGCAACCTCCACCTCCTGGGTTCAAGGGATTCTCCTGCCTCAGACTCCCAAGTAGCTGGGATTACAGGCACCCATCATCACACTAGCTAATTTTTATATTTTTAGTAGAGATGGGATTTCACCATGTTGGCCAGGCTGATCTCAAACTCCTGACCTCAGGTGATCCGCCTGCCTTGGCTTCCCAAAGTGCTGAGATTACAGACGTGAGCCACTGTGCCCCGCCAGTCACATTTTAAAGAGAAAAAAAAAAGATGCTTATTGAGAGAACATTACTAACAACTGTTGAAATTGTTGAAGTTACAGCAAATCAGTAGAGTCAGTCAGTTGAGCCAGACAGCCTCTGAGTCTGTCTTTTTTTTTTTTTTGAGACAGAGTGTAGCTCTGTCGCCCAGGCTGGAGTGCAGTGGCACAATCTCGGCTCACCCAACCTCCATCTCCCGGGTTCAAGCGATTCTCCTGCCTCAGCGTCCTGAGTAGCTGGGATTCCAGGTGCCTGCCACCATGTCCAGCTAATTTTTGTATTTTTATATTTGTAGTAGAGAGAGGATTTCACCATGTTGGCCAGGCTGGTCTCAAACTCCTGACCTCGTGATCCACCCGTCTTGGCCTCCCAAAGTGCTGAGATTACAAGTGTGAGCCACCACGCTCAGCTGAATCTGTAGTTCTAAACAATCTTCAACACATAATAGAAAATGTGAAAGAGACAGAGCCAGGTACAAGAACGATACCAACTTCTGGAATTCATGATCAAGGTGGTCAGCTAAAGTATGTCAATGCCAGCAATTGTCCTCTTTTGGATTTAGCCCTCTAGGATTTTAATTTCCTTTTCTCTTGGATATTTTCTTATCTGAGAACAAGCCAGGCTCACCTTTCTGTTAAGTTACTTATGCATAGCTGGCATGTTACTTTCTTTGCCTTTCCTGGTTGGATTGGCATTTTCCCATGCATATATTTACATATATTTCTCAATATATTTACATAAAATGAATTTCATCACCTTTTTATTGTGTTTTTTTTGTTTGTTTGTTTGTTTTTGAGATGGAGTTATGCTGTTGTTGCCCAGGCTGGAATGCAATGGTGTAATCTCGGCTCACTGCAACCTCTGCCTCCCAGGATCAAGCGATTCTCCTGCCTCAGCCTCTGGAGTAGCTGGGATTACAGGCGTACACCACCACACCCAGCAGATTTTGTATTTTTAGTAGAGACAGAGTTTCACCTTGTTGGCCAGGCTGGTCTCAAACTACTGACCTCAAGTGATTCACCAGCCTCGGCCTCCCAAAGTGCTGGGATTACAGGCGTGAGCCACACTGCCCTGCCCTCTGGTTTCTTTTATAACAAACACTTTAGGAATAAAAGCAACTACTCTTGCTTTGCTTATGGCTTTGTTTTGTTTTTTCCCTTTATGCCTCTCTCCTCTGAGACCTTCTCTTTCAGTCTGTTCCCCGGATTAACATGCACAATCTGATGATGCCTGTCTTTCTATAGAAAGTATTTCTGTATAAATACTGGTTCACAAACCGACAGAAAGCACAGAAGTGCGAAGTAAGCACAGAAGTCTGTCACTGGGAGGGAAAGAATAATCACAAGGGTTTCAATCCTAAACAGAAAGCCAAGATAACAAGAGCTAGCGTTTACTGAGCACTTACTATGTGCCAGACAAGGTTCTAATGCCTTACAGTACATATTTACTAACTTATTTCGTCCCGACAGTCACTCTATCAGACAGGTATTGCCCCAGATAAATGAAACAGAAGCAGCTTGTCCAAGATCACACAGCAGAGCTGATTCCAGTGCCTATGTTATATACTATTACATCCTCTTAGTCACTGAATTCTTCTATTAATTTGGGAACATTTCCTGCCACAAACGAGTGAGTCAAGAGGCAACTAGATGATGGCACTGATTATTCAAATTGAGGTGCTCACCATGCTCTAGAACCATGGATGTGAGATGGCTTTACAGGCATGATCACTTTCAGCCCCGCATTTTAGGAATGAGGAAACATTTTCGAGATGTTAATTTGCCCAAAGTCACCCAGCTAGCAAGCAGAGGAGCTGGGGCTGTTTGAATCCAAAGTCCACGACACTCCTAACCGCTGCTCAATGCTGCCCCACAAGAACGTCCAGCTGGCAAGACCCGGGGGCGGGCGGGGTGGAGAGGGTCGTTGCTCTCCCCGCTTCACCTTTCCGCTTCACGGCCGGGGGTGTGCTGGCTAAGTTCGCTCATCTGCCAAGCTTCGGGACACAGACCTATGTGAGCAAGTGATAAACAAATGCAAATCAATGTAACTTTCCACGTTAGCTAAAAATTCAGAGAACGTCAAGCCCAGGGAAATGGGACTGATCCCAGTTAGCCCGCGGCTCCAATCTGGTCCCCCGCCACCCTGAGCCTCGGGGCGAGAGAGGAAGCGGCTCCGGATGGAGAGTAAAGTGACAATCGGAGAAGGGCAGGCTGCCTTTCCTCCCGGGGGAGCCGAGGGGACCTGCAGAGGGCGGTTTCTCTCCGCTTTTCCTGTCCCACCCCGTCGGCCTGCCCCCCACCCCCTCCGGCCTCTGCGCCAACCCCGCGCGCCGCCCGCGGCTTCCTCCTCTCGGGGTCCTCGTTCGGCCTCTGCCGGCCTCCGCGACTCCGCGGTGCCCGCCCCCATTGAGTTCAAAAGGACGCGCGGAGCGGCGCCGGCCCTCCCCCGGCAGCCCGTCGGACTGGAAAGGTGAGCACGAGGGGAGGGCGGGGGCGCCGGAAAGCCGGGTCGCCCACACTCGCCTCAACCACCTCGGCCGCGGCAGGAACCGAAACCCGGAGCGGCCGAAGCTCAGCGCCCCGCTGGGACCGAGGGTCGCGGCGGCTGGAAACGCCGCTCCCAGCGCAGCGCGCTCCGCCGGGTGCTGGTAACGCGGGGGGCTGCGGGCGGGGACGGGGGTGGGACCGCGGGGCGAGGACCAACCCAGCCCGCTGCATCCACCCTGCGTTCGCAGGGGCGTCGAGGGTCTCCGGGACGCGAGGCGCGGGCAGGAGCCAAGTGAGGCTCGGCAGGCTGTGCGCGGACCGCGCCCTGGACGGCGAAGGCAGGCCCGGACGGGGCGGCCAGCCTGGCGTCCCTGCGTCCCAGGCGGGCCAGAAGGCGGCCCACGGCCCTCGCCTCCCGGTCCCGGCCCGGCTGCCGCGCTGCGCCCACTCCGCTCCGGAGCCTAGGCGCGGGTCCTGACCTTCCCGGCCCTCTCCTGACACCTGGTGGATGGCGTCACCAGAACTCCGAGCTGTGGAACCCTAGGGTACCTGTTACCGCGCTTTGGCGAAACTGGGTCCGCTGCTGATTTGCGAACCTTTGCCTGACTTTCTCAGGCCTTGAGAGATCTCCGAGGTAAATTTGGTGGCCCATTGAAAGGATCGGGAGAGAGCGTCTGAAGGTAACACCCCGGTAAAGTGCACGTGGCCTCAGACTGCTCCTGTGGAGAGCCGTTGGTACTTGGAGCCTGAGAAGATACTCAGGGAAACCAGAAGTGGGCAAGAGGAAAAGGGGAAGGGACTTGGGAAAACCTGGCACCAGAGGCGTTTCTGGGACTTCCAGGGTCTCACCCGCTGCATTCCTGTCTTTGCCCCTTTTCCTACAGATCTGCCTCTTCTCCAAGGAACTCAACCACTAGTGACAATGACCAGCCTCCTGACCACTCCTTCTCCGAGAGGTAGGCGAAGGCCTTTCCTAATCCCAGTGAGAAAGAATTGTTCAACATCCCCTTCCCCAGACCAGTCCTGGAAGCCTCAGCCCTGGTGGGAAGACTCACGCCTCTCTCTGCCTGTCTCACACGGGAAAGACCTGGGAGTTAGCAGGAACTCTAGAGTGTGCCCCTTAGTACTGTTTTAATCTGAAGTCACATGGACATGGTGACTTCACTACCACTTAAAGCTTTGTAACCTCGGTTTATCCAGTGTTAGTAATCCCAGGACTTTGGGAGACTGAGGCAAGAGGATCTCTTGAGGCTAGGTGTTTGAGACTTGCCTGGGCAACATAGTGAGACCCCCATCTCTAATTCAAAAGAAAGAAAGAGGCCAGGTGTGGTGGCTCATGTCTGTAATCCCAGCAGTTTGGGAGGCCGAGGTGGGCGGATCACCTGAGGTCAGGAGTTTGAGACCAGCCTGGCCAACATGGTGAAACCCCGTCTCTACTAAAAATACAAAGAAATTAGCCAGGCTAGTTTTTTATTTTTAGTAGAGAGATGGTTTCACACCTGTAATCCCAGCTACTCAGGAGGCTGAGGCATGGGAATCACTTGAACCCAGGAGGCGCAGGTGAGCTGAGATTGTGCCATTGCACTCCAGCCTGGGCAACAGAGTGAGACCCATCTCAAAAAATAGGGAGGGAGGGAGGGAAGGAGGAGAGAGGGAAGGAAAGGAAGGAAGGAAGACTGATTATTTTATAAGCCTAAAGGAAGGGCTTTACTTTCATCCCTCTAATAATTTATAGCTATGGCAAAGAATTAGCAGAAAGCCTTATAGTTAAATGTGGAAAAGGAATCTTCAAAGATAATAGGGAAATCGGTTTTTAAAAACCTGCTAAAGATAATATTTCTAACCTCTAAGCTCCAGGTTCATCATTCACAAAATAGGGAAAATAGTACCTATCTTATGATTTATGAAGATTAAATGAGACAGCCCATATAAAACACCTAGAAGAGTGTGTAGTATCTCGTAAGCACTCAGTCACATTGGTTATTAGTACTGAGTGCTTGTTAAAAACCCATCTTTTGGCCGGGCGCGGTGGCTCAAGCCTGTAATCCCAGCACTTTGGGAGGCCGAGACGGGCGGATCACGAGGTCAGGAGATCGAGACCATCCTGGCTAACACGGTGAAACCCCGTCTCTACTAAAAAATACAAAAAACTAGCCAGGCGAGGTGGCAGCGCCTATAGTCCCAGCTACTCGGGAGGCTGAGGCAGGAGAATGGCATGAACCCGGGAGGCGGAGCTTGCAGTGAGCCGAGATCCGGCCACTGCACTCCAGCCTGAGCGACAGAGCGAGACTCCGTCTCAAAAAAAAAAAAAAAAAAAAAAGAAACCCATCTTTCCCTTGAAAGGGATTCTGCTGGCTTTCTAATTCCATTTCTCTGATGATACAGACCCAGCATCAAAACCTCATTGTTCCCTGAAGGTGTGTGGAGGCTGGTCTCTACTGCTCAGCACTCTGAGAATGGATGCCCACCTTTTAGTTCATCATCAGGCTGGGCTGGCCAAACTATCAGTTATTTATTGACTATTCTCAGCATGTGCTAGTTAGGGAGAGAGAGGAACAATGGTTGGTCTATACACCTTTGTCTTCCTATACACAGTCACATTTGTCATTAAGACAGACATTCCCTGCTTTTACTGTGTAGAAACAGGTGAGTGACAACACCAGTGGAAGTCTAAGACAGTGTCCTCTGTGACTGGTAATGCACACAATTCAGACTTTTAGCTTTCTGGTGAGAAGAGATAAAAGAGAGAAATGGCCGGGTGTGGAGGCTCATGCCTGTAATTCCAGCACTTTGGGAGGTCAAGGCAGGCAGATTGTTTGAGCTCAGGAGTTCGAGATCAGCCTGGGCAATATGGCGAAACCCCGTCCCTACAAAAAAATTTAAAAAATAGCCGGGCGTGGTGATACACACCTGTGGTTCCAGCTACTCCGAAGGCTAAGGTGAAAGGATCCCTTGAGCCCAGGAGATGGAGGCTGTAATGAGCCGAGATCATGCCACTGCACTCTGGCCTGGGTGACAGAGCAAGTCCCTGTCTTAAAAAAAAAAAAACTTGGGGGGATGCGGAGTAGTGGGGAGAAATGGGTCCGCAAAGGCTTCATGAGTAGGCAAGGAAGGGATCTGAGTCTTGCCCTTGAAAGATGGACAAGGTTCGTACTGGCAAAGGGGCGCAGCAGGTATCTTAGAGAAGGGTGGGATACCTTTTCTATGTGTATCTGCTCTAGATAAAGGCAGAATACCTCATACCATGTGTGAAGCTACAGAAACAATTTACCCTGGAGGATGTTCAGGAAGCGGGTGGGCAAAGGACCTCCAGAATAAGCCTGCCCACAAGAGAAAAAAGGCGATACCTTGGTAGCTAGCTGAGGGATTAGAACCCCGGCAAAGCGGAACTGTTTACATTTTTTTAAATTTTATTATTTATTATTATTATTGTTGTTGAGACTAAGTCTCACTGTGTTGCCCAGGCTAGAGTGCGGTGGCTTGATCTCAGCTCACTGCAGCCTCCGATCCTGGGCTCAAGCAATTATCCTGCCTTAGTCTCCCTAGTAGCTGGAATTACAGGCGTGCGTTACCATGCCCAGCTAATTTGTGTACTTTTAGTAGAGACGGGGTTTCACCATGTTGGCCAGGCTGGTCTCGAACTCCTGGCCTCAAGTGATCTGCCTGCCTCAGCCTGCCAAAGTGCTGGGATTACAGGCATGAGCCACCGTACCTGGCCATTTTTTCTTTTTTTAAAACTTACCGTAAAATAAACATAGTACAGGTATTACCATTTTAGCCACTTTTTCGCAGGCAGTTCAGTGGTGGAGTAGTCCCCACTTATCCATAGGGGATTCATTCCAAAAGCCCCAGCGGATGCCTGAAATCTCAGATAGTACTGAACCCCATCTGTACTATGTTTTTTCCTGTACATACATACTCAGGATAAAGCTTAACTTAAAAATTAGGCACAGTAAGAGATTAACAATAATAAAATAGAACAACTATAACAATATACTGTAATAAGAGTTATGTGAAAGTGGTCCCTCTCGCTTAAAATACCTTATTTACTATAGATCTTAGAAACCTCAGTATACAATTCTTTTTTTTTTTTTCTTTATGAAGTCAAGAACTTTCACCTTTTCACTTAAAGGAAGCACTTCTTGGCATGTCCAAATTGCATCACCATTCTTGTGCTTTGGGGCCATTGTCATGTAAAATAAGGGTTACTTGAACACAAGTGTGGTGATACTGTGACAGCCAACTACTAAGCATTTATAGCATGGATACAAAAGGATGATTCACTTTCCAGGCAGGATGGAGCAGGGTGTGAGATTTCATCACGCTACTCAGAACGGCACATAATTTAAAATGTATGAATTGTTCCTTTCTGGAATTTTCTTTTTCTATTAAATTTCTATTTAATGTTTTTGGACTGCAGTTGACCGCGGGTAACTGAAACCTGGGAAAGCAAAACCACACATAAGGGGGGACTACTGTATTTTTTTTTTGAGATGGAGTCTTGCTCTGTCGCCCAGGCTGGAGTACAGTGGCACGATCTCAGCTCACTGCAAGCTCTGCCTCCTGGGTTCACACCATTCTTCTGCCTCAGTCTCCCAAGTAGCTGGGACTACAGACGCCTGCCACCACACCTGGCTAATTTTTTGTATTTTTAATAGAGACAGGGTTTCACCGTGTTAGCCAGGATGGTCTCGCTCTCCTGACCTCGTGATCCGCCCGCCTCGGCCTCCCAAAGTGCTGGGATTACAGGCGAGCGCCCGGCCTTGGGGAGACTACTGTATTAAGTAATTCGTGTTCCTCACCACCATCCATCTCCAGAACTTTGCCTTCCCAAACTGAAACCTATTAAACACTGATTCCCCATTCCCCTGGCAGACACTGTTCTATTTTCTGTCTATGTGAATTTGACCGCTCTAGGTACTTCATGTAGGTAGAATCATACAACAGTCCTTTTGCGTCTGGCTAACTTCACTTAGCATAATATTCTCAAGGTTCATCCATACTGTAGCATGTCCCAATTTCCTACCTTTTCAAGGCTGAATGATATCGTTGGATGTGTATATTACGTTTTGTTTCTCCATTCATCTATGATGGACAGTTGGGTTGCTTCCAGCTTTTGGCTATTGTGACTGATGCTGCTATAAACATGGGTGTACAAATATCTTCTTGAGCCCTGCTTTCAGTTGTTTGGGATGTATACTCAGAAGTGGAATTGCTGTATTGTTATAATTCTGTGTTTAATTTTTTTGAGGATCCACCATACAGCTTTGCACAGCGGCTGCACCATTTTATATTCCTACCAGCAGTGCATAAAGGTTTCAGTTTCTCTGCAACCTTGCCAACACTTGTTACTTTCTGTTTAATAGTAGTCATCATAATGTGTGTGAGGTGGTATCTCACTGTGGTTTTGATTTGCATTTCCCTAGTGATAGTGATGTGGAGCATCTTTTCATGTACTTATTGACCATTTGTACATCTTTGGAGAAATGTCTATTCAAGTCTTGTCCCATTTTTTAGTTGAGCTGTTTTGTTATTGTTCAGCTGTATATGTATATCCTTTTAAAAATTTTTTTAAAAATTGATTATTGAGTCAGCCCTCTGTCTCTCTCTTTCTCTGTCTCTCTTTTTTTCCGAGACCGAGTCTTGCTCTGTCACCCAGGCTGGAGTGCAGTGGTGCAATCTCGGCTCGCTGCAACCTCTGCCTCCTGGGTTCAAGCAATTCTCCTGCCTCAACCTCCCTCCCGAGTAGCTGGGATTACAGGCACACGCCGCCATGCCCGGCTAATTTTTTGTAGTTTAGTAGAGATGGGGTTTCACCATGTTGCCCAGGTGGGTCTGGAACTCCTGACTCAGGCAATCCACATGCCTCGGCCTCCCGAAGTGCTGGGATTACAGGTGTGAGCCATCACGCCTGGCCTCTCTTTTTTTTTTTTTAAGAGATGGGATCTTACTCTGT